CACCCGCGTGTGGCGGTGCAGGGCCCCGCAGTCTAGGCACGGGTGGCAGAGGAAGGGCGAGCCGCCGATGCAGTGTGGGACCAGGCACTCCACAAACCAGCCTGGCGGGCAGCCACACCTGGTGTCGGCCACTGCCGAGCAGTTCTCCAGGGCCACCTGGGAGGCTGGTGGGGGTGCAGGGAGATGGGGGAGCAGAGGCAGTTAGGGACAGATCCCCGGAAGAACAGAGACGGGATAAACCAGAGACAGGGCCACCCCAAGGCAGAGGGAAGCGCACACTCCACAGACCAGGCCTGAGGTGTGTGCAGACAGGATGGCGGCCAGGAGGGAAGGGCGCCCTGAGGCAGGGTCAGGAGGGTGGGGGGTGGGGGGGCCCAAACCAGCCACTTCCTTCAGAAAGAGGCGGGCACAGCCTGTCCTCAGGGCCCCCACCGGACACCAGCAGCTCCTCACCCTGCTCATCGCAGGCCTGGCAGCGGGCGCAGCTGGTCTCGTGGTGGTGCTCCCGGGCCAGGAAGGTGCCCTGGGCGCACGGGACGCAGGTGGCATTGCCACAGGGCTCTGTGCAGCGGGCCGCTAGGTATTGCCCTGTGGAGCCCAGGCTGGGGTCAGAGAGTCAGAGGGGCTCCCGCCTTCCCTCCCTCCCTCCCTCCCTGTGCTCCCTACTTCTCTCCCCACCCCCAACCCCACTCGGCAGACACTCACCTGCCGGGCAGCCCCTGCAGCAGAGCGGACCCGTCCTCTTCCGAAAGTCGGGGGCACAGTCACACCTGGGGCTGGGGGTGCCGCCCTGGCCCTGGGCGCCCAGCAGGAGCAGGAGGAGGGCCTGGGAGACAGGGGCTGCTGGCTCCCGCGTGGGCATGGCTTCCCCACACGGGGCCTCTCCCTGCCCAGTCTCCCCAGCGTCAGGGGCCCCAGGATGTTGCCCTCAGAGCAGCCCACTTCTCAGGTTCTTGGGCAGAAGGGGTGCCCAGGGGGTGAGGATGAGACAGGGAGACAGGCCCGGCTGGGCAAGAGGAGGGCTCCCCCAGCCCCTCCAGCAGCGGCATCAGGCAGCCCCACCCCCGCCCGAGGGACCCCGCTCTCTCCCTCCGGGGCCTCCAGACCTCAGGGACCCTGGCAGGGTGCTTCCTCTGGTCGGAAGAGCCCGCCCTGGCTGAGCCTCTAACTAGGTCAGAGGGCAGGGCCTGCCCAACCCCCAGCGAGTCTGGGAGCAAGTTTCAGATATTCGCTATTCGCGGGACCCCTTCCTCCCTGCGCAGATCCAGGCCCAGAGACTTGAGGCCGCCCCCCTACCCTCCCAATCCCCCTTCCCCACTCACTGCAGCCACCACTGCTGCCCAGCACCGGGGCTGCCGGTCCATGGCCCGGTGCCTCGCCGCTCTGGGCCCTCAAGCGCAACTGGAAGGGACA